TGCCCACCCCGATCTATATCAATGATGGCTCGGTGGATCATTTCATATTACTATTACTATTAGTGCTGATTACAGGTCGAAACTCGTGGCTTCCTTATATAATAATATACTTGCTCATATTACAACATTAGGGCCTACTCTCAATGTCTGTGATAAACTTGCTGATGGCAATGCTAAACCTTGAAGTGTAAAAAACTGGAAAGTAATAATACTAATATCCCATCTCTTCTCCGTAGTGATGGTATTTCTGTGAGTCTCCTGCATCGATTTAAAGCTTGTTTGTTAAGTGATCAATTCAAGTCAGTTTTCTTGTGCAATCCCTGTTCCGTGATGAGCAAAATTGTTATCCCCATAAGTGGTATGTGCTCGGTGTTCTGGTCATGATCACAGGCACTTGAAGCGTTTCAATAAAATATAATGCTAATTAAATACGAAATCTATTTACTACCAACTTCTTAAGTTTCTATACTCTCTTTCACCTATTATTGCCGACAGTTTCCTGCTAAATTCCGCTCCAAATCCTACGTTGCAATGCTCCAAAATTCTACGCTTCCAGGCCGCCATTGCTTTCGCGGTGCCACTGTTGCACGCTTACGCTAATATATATAGTGTAATATAGTGTAAGCGTGCAACCAGTGAAAAAATTAATTTTTTCTTTCGGGGCTCTTTTTGCAAACCGCCCCCAAAATTTCGGGGCTACTTTTTCATTTTCCAGGGCTCTTTTTCACTTTCCAGGGCGACTTTTTCCAGGGCTGTTCCTCAAATGTACACACAAGCACCAGTAGCTAATACACACTCGTGGGGCGCGCACACACCAACACACGTCACACGCACGCACGCACACACGCACGCACGCACGCATACTGCACGCACGCACACACCACCACACACACACCACACACACAGACACACACAGACACAACAGTCAATATTCAAGACAGTTATTCATCAGACTGACAGACTAACATGATAATCACAACTCACAAGTCACAACCACAAATGCACTTGAATAGTGAATACATCACAGGTTCAGCTAAACACAGAACTATTACGGCTAGCCCAAACAGTGAATGTCCGCCTGTACGAGCTAGGAGGATCGATTGTTTATACGCGAAGTCTCTTGCGGCTGGGTCCAAGGCCCGCGTAAGGGCCCTGGAAGCTCAGGGGGTTTGAGAAACGGCCGCGAGGCACGTGTGAATGGCTGTGCACATCGACGCTGGCGTACGTGCCTGCTGCAGGGCGGCGTGATTGAAGTATGGGGGGGCACGATTGTTCAGCGTGGTACTAATCACTACTAAAATTTAGAGGTTGGCATTGCTGACTATGAGAGAGCGGCAGCAAAACTCTTCGGGGAATTGACAAAAAAAGCTACAATCGGGAATGACACACGAGTGTGCCGGCAGGGGAAAATATACGTGTGAATTTCATTAGGAATTTTCCAGATTACCGTTCTATAATCCTACGGGTCGTTGTCCTACGCGGTCTACGTAGGCACGCCCGCAGGCACACTCGCCACACAGCACGCACGCGCATGCAGGCACACCGGCACACACAGGCACGCACGCACGCGCGCAGGCGCACCGACGCGCGCAGTCACACACGCAAGCACGCCTGCAGGCACACCTGGCACGCACGCACGCGCGCAGGCACACACGCAAGCACGCCGCAAGGCACACACATATATATACGCGCGGCGGACGCGGCGCGCGCTTGATTGAATGCAATACACACATGCATGCTTAATGATAAACACTTGACAGCCACACGTACTAGGAATTCTACGCACCGTGGAACCGGCTGCCGCTAGCGGCAGAGGCGAGCGAGATCGGCAAGGCGGCGGACCGACCTGGACAATCGATTTCCAGGCGACTTTTGCTTTCGGGGTCGCCCCGATATCGTATTTTCGGGGGCTCTTTTTGGCATTCGGGGGCGAAATCGCCCGCTGGCCCCCGTGTATTTTTCCCTGCCGTGCAACAGTGGAGCCGCGAAAGCAATGGCGCTGGCAGCGTAGGATTTTGTAGCGTTGCACGTAGGATTTGGACGATGTTTTATTTTGGCATCATTTTGCGGATGAGCTTGGACCTTCACTTCACAATTTGTTTGACAATCCTATGATCTATGTTCTCTTCCTTTCGATTGAAAAAGATGTGAAACGTTGAATTTCTTGTGATTTGAGCAAGTCATACTCCTTTATTATTATTCCTCCTGATAATATAACATAATGTAATGTAACCATAACATGACCTATCACAAGAAACAGCAGGTGATCTGGACAATCCATTGCCATGAGTTTTGTCTCAATCTGGTGTACCATAAAACAACCAAAATTTACTTTAATAAATGGTATTGGTAATTCTATATTCTGCATGAGAACGTCAGATATATTAAACAAATAACTGAAGCCAAATGATAATATTTCAGAGTGGCTATATGCCCGGCAGCCGCATATATACTGACGGCTGCCGGCACGACGTCTTCGATTTCCTAAATGCCCGGCAGTTTTTAATTTTCAGCGTTATCTCAAGTAAACAAGGTTTGGGTTACGTTAGGAACTGCCGCGGCATTTAGTGAAAATCGAAGACCGTGCCCGGCTGCCTGCATATAGCCACAGCGTAATATTTTTCCACAATGAGTTCTATAGACCAGAAGATAATTTAAGCCTTTTAATAAGTGTAACCACAGCACTTGGAACGCGTCTCAATAAAAAAAAAGGTAAATAAAACGAAATGTATTACTACAAAGTCTTAATGTTTCTCTACTCTATTTCGCCTATAATCGCCTGTAAATGCGCGTCAAATTCTCATCTGCAACACACAAGTACATCGCACGCTAGCTGCTGCACATGACACATAAATATATATAGGGCCAGTAAGGAAAAGCTGCTGCCAAAATTCGCATCGCGACCCGCTTCGCCATTTCATATGATACAACACTAAATTCAACCATACTCGCATCTTTGTTTCTATTTGAAGAACAGTGTTTCACTGCTTATAAAAACATTGTCTGTGTCCTCGTAACCAGCTGTGTCACGACGAACAATCACACAAAGCCTGCAACGAAATTCCGAGCGCGTTCGCTTCCCGTCGGCTGCAATGTACAGGGCTATTAGGCGGCGCACTGCATTTTGGAAATACCACGCCTGCTTTCAACTCTCGCGTGTGAAGCCCCGTTCAAAAGCCGCCAGTGGAGGCGTTGCAAAAAAACCTGCAGCTGTTGAGGCGCGAAAATGAGGTTCACGAAGGAGCGCCGCGGGGGTGTTTCCTGATTCCGACAGCCATTACATACAACTGCGCGCAACCTGGCGAGCGAACGCGAGAATTTATCGTGCAGGCTTTTGTATTTCGCGTGCACACAGCTCGGTACGAACACAGACAGTATGTTTTATAACAAGGAACCACTTGTTCTTCAAATAGAAGCAAAGAATGCTAGTAGAAATGGTTGAATATTTGTGTTGTATTCGCTATGAAATCAAGCGACGCTGCCGATCAAATTTTGCAGCACGCTTTCCTACCTGCAATGTATGTTTTATGTGTTTCATGGTGGCAGCAGCTAGCGTGCGGTGTACTTGTGTGTTGCAGATGAGCATTTTGGACGCAATAATAGGTGAAAAAGAAGCAGAGAAACATAAGAGACTTTGGCTAGTAAATAGATTTCGTATTTATTTAGCATTATAATTTTTATTGAAACGCTCTAAGTTCCGTGTGTGTAACACCAGTTCCAGAGTTTTTACATCAAACATATTGTATGTGTCGTGTGTGTATTTTGGTGGCAAGGTTAATGTACAGTACAGTGTTTTCTTTACTTGCAGGATGTTTCTTAATGTGTAAACGTCGTAAGGCGTCGATCTTTTTGAGGCTAAAGGAAACTACAACGGTGCTAGAGCTCAAGAAAATAATCGAGGGAATTATGAAGACTTTGCCAGAAAATCAGAGTTGTGGAAATAGTACACTATTCAAGAGGTTTCTCATCTTCGTACGTTTGTATTTAAATCATATAGTGTTTAATAACATGGAATTCTGGTATAAAAGTAGTCTGTACTTGTGTGAACAGTGCATGAATGTCCTAGCAATTACTTGCTACAATGCTATCCTAACAGTAACTGTTTAACCTATCTGTTATCGGTTCAGCCTTGTTCCTGAAAACATAAAACTGGAACTTTATTGAGGTTGGTATGTATGCGCTCAGAGTCTCTCACCCTCGATGAAAGCCCACCATTAATCTGCTTAAACATACACGAACACCTACTGTGAACTGACAATTGTATGTTTGTTGTCACTAGAATGTATGTTTAAAATGTAACTTGTCTTTGTAGACGATCAACCAATGGGATGATAACAATGATACATCGGCGTGGACTATGGTTTTTACCAGCAGTACTTGCAAAACACAGCGATCCGTGCCCCAACAGTCGTCTTTCTTCCAGAGGTGAGTGAAAAGCCGTGAAAACCGGAAATGTCTTTTTATTCCCAATATTAATTTGTTGAAATACATATTACAGTCCGACCTTTTTTATCCGCCATCCGTTATCCGGAAATCTCTATTAACCCGGCCCCCGTCTCGCCCAGGGTGGTTATGTTCCTCTGTATTTTATCATTTATTCTCCACCCTAAAAATCCTCGCTCAAGTTGCTCAAAACGCGTGCCGACTCTGTACCAATCATTCTTGCGCGATGACACAGATGTATCGAAGAGCACACAGCTATCACATACACAAAACAAAACACACTTACCGTAAAGCAGCAAACGCCCATTGTACATGCTACAATCATTTATAAATATACGGCCATATTAATACGATATATCACGAATACGTACTCACTTGTTTGATGCTGTAAAAACTACCAAGGAATTAAAAATATATACACTTTAAACTATATGAAATAACAAAAATGTGATTCGTGAGATGCGCTTGCATGCCGTGCGTGCTGCTGTGCCCCTTTCCCCGTGTGTGGCTTGTGTGGTTCATGTGGTGTTGTCCGCTATGCCTCCAGACAACTTTCGTCCGTTAACAAACAACTTTTACTAGCGGACGTTAGTGAAACGCGCTACCTCGCTACGCACTCGCGATCGATCGAGCCCCGTACTTCAATCAAAGGCGCCGCTGCCGCGCACATGTAACAGCCCTAGCCTAGGCATACGACGCCACGAGTGTATCGATCGTTACAGCCCTAGATCTCAGCACAAAAGAAACAAACATAAACCGAAGTGGTAAAATTTCTGTTTTATTTCATTTTATTTCCATTTCATAAACCATAAAACCATAAAACACGACAGTTTGTTACAAATAATCAATCATAGCAACGAGTAAATACATTATCACATGCAGCATAAACCCTACTGAACTGCATAGAAATGCTGTGTTTGAGCATAACTCTCATATCCGACCAAATCCCATATCCAGATGGGTGCCAGTCCCGACGTGGCCGGATAAAGGAGGTCGGACTGCATTTCTGTTTGCTCTCGAATCTATGGAAAAGCTACATGATTGTTTTGTTGTTTTGTGTTTAAAGTTTGCACGTTTCATCGTATATTAGAGTGTTACGAAGCGGTTGTGTATGTATGTGCAAACTGGAATGCGCTTGGTATGTGAGACAGTTACCAAATTTAACAATTTTAGATATCCGTTCATTGGAGGATCAGTCATCAGTACTTGATAGTTTACTACAGTTGCTAGGTGGTGATATTGATCAATTGATATTGTATTTGCAAACTTTAATTTCTAGGAGATGAAGGTGAATTTGAGCCATTGGTCATCACGCCATTGTCCACCCCTCCAGCGCTGCCAGATGTTATGAAGCATCCGGACTCCGTCAGCCAGAGCCAGGAGCAAACGGCCTAAGCAACGGACATTATGTGCTTAAGGCATTATCTTATTTCTTATTCACCATTTTATCAGAATTTTGAAGTCAACGTAGCTCATTCGTAAAACACAGTAAGAACCCGATCACATTTTGTGTTTCTCAAGTCTAATGTTTGATCGTAAAGCTAGGACAAAGTAATGCTGTGACTGTAGGTAATTAATACTGCCACCATTTTGTCTTAGCCTATGCCTGTATGTGCCTGTGTAATGAGCGAAACATATTGTTTTTGAATAACAGCTAAGAATCCAGTTGTAACTACATGCTTCGTAGAGTCATTCAGATGTTGTTTGTCTGCACTAAAATAACAGAGTGGATACGTGGTTGTATCAAACATGCACTGCTGTTCGTCGTCTCCTGTGGCGCATTCCTGCTTTTCTGATAATTTCTGCTAATGATAAACTTGCAGCAGTGTTTTTTTTATCCCCATAGCTGGCATTGAAGCAGTGGTAACTGTATGCATCTTAAAAAGTGTATTCAGGAGCAAGAAACAGTTTTGGACTTGTAAATATGCATATGTATTGTAGGAAAATGAAACCAGTTGATAAGCAATTTGTGGTAGTGGTTTTGAGTGTAGCAAAGCAGATGTGACTGATAGGGTGTTGCTTCTTATTATATAACTTCCGAATAGAGTTCATACTGGAAACTCAGCGGTAATGTATTACTTATCTGGAATTTACAACTCTTTCCTAAACTATCTTTTTGTAATGGTCGTGTGCATTAAGTGTTCGTCACCCAACTAGAGAGTCCCTGGATGTAATTGGCCACATATTTAAGAAATGAGATGGAGGGGTGTCTAAATACGAACAGAACTTTAAAGCTACAAAATTGTCACTTGTTTGAACGTGCAAGCCATAGCATAAACTACAGCTATGTAGTGTTAGCTCTGCCTCTGTTATTCTATTGTTAAATAATTGGGTTTGCAACATGGTGTTATTTATAGAATGTTGTACTGTCGTCATACGTGGTTTGTAGAATTAATTCAGTTGAATGGTCAATGTTAGTGCAGGCTAACCTTTTTTGTCTATCACTTAACCCATGTATAGTGATGATGAATGATGATGGAATATGAATGAACCTCGTAGCATTTGCACTGGCGTATCCTACTGTGTGATACTGATAAAGCAGTAACCTATCTGTCAAACGTTCTCGAGTTTTGTGCTGTGATGTATATTATTATTCAGCAGGCGACTTTTTAACGTTCCCTCGAGCTATTCACTTTCATATAAGTTAACGAGGCGTATTATATAGGTAACATGCCGCTAGTTGCTGAAAATCGAATCTGTATTATCAGATTTGTATAAAATAAAGTGGTTTGAGAAGTTTAAATTAACAATTCAACACCGTTGTTGACGTGTGTAGTTGTGGTGTGTAGTGTCAGGTGCTTCATGTTCCGATTGGGTGATTCAAGCTATGAACGCTACACTATATAGAGAACAATGCATAGCATGGTGCGTAGATATAACATAAGGTGGATATATAGGACGTGACTGGAGTAGCGTGATCATGAGGAACAGTATTACAACCATGCAATGTAATGACAATCAGCATGCTAGCCGTTCTTGAAAAGGTATTTGAACAACAAACGGTGAAATGCAATAACAAATGACAATAGCTGCGAGAAAACCTGTATATAATTGCAAAATAGTAACCCAGAAATAACAGGTATAGCAAGTGTGAGTGGGAGCAGAACAGAGGTTTGTCATCCGTGTGATATAGATCCGAGTTTAGCTTAAGACTTGCCCAGGTCGGAAAAAGGGATATTTTCATTATAATTAATACGGATAACTACTTTTACATTAAGTCTGTACCATAGTATTCTAGTTTTAGAAAAAAAAAATCCACGTCAGCAAAATACCACCTCTCCAAACAAGTGCCGCAGAGCGACAGCGCTCAACTGACGTGTACTGTAGCCGGGTATTCTTCTGATAAACTCACTGGCAACCGAATCCCACCACCGCGTTCGCGCTCGAAGCATATATCCAGTTGAGGGTCAAAAGGTTATCAGACACTTACTGTTCGCACGTCAGCGGAAAGCACGTTCCATGGTCCTTTCAATAAAGTGATAAAAATGGTAGGTCAGCGCTGAAACAAAAAAGTTTCCCACTCGGTCCGTTAGACCATGTCCTCAGAAAATGTCTAATATCTGACCTTTCCTCTGACCTTTGACATTTGACCTCCAATTTTGCGCTGGTGATGGGTTTCCTCCCCATCACACTATACATCGAATATTAAGAGCGTAGGTCAAGCCGTTCAGATTTGTGCCGCAATTCCGTATTTCCTCCTATACCTTAAGTTAAGGAGGAAATATTCCCCCTCCATTGACACCCCTTGACCTTTGACCCTTGACCCCCAAATTCGACATCCGAGTCCTTTTCACGACCCCCCCCCCTCCGACGTCCCGAATATCAAGACCGTACGTCGAGCGGTTAAGATTTGTGCCGTAACTGTTGACACACGGACGGACGCTCATGCGATTCTACAAGCTGCATCTATCGTCAGCTGAGCTAAAAATACGGGAAAGAAAAAGGCCCTAAACGCAAACCTCAACACGGTGTTTAGTATTCACACAAAAAAACAATAATTATGATAATTGTGAAGTTCACAGGTTCGTAGTTTGACTGATATTACATTTACATACATTATTTTACAAGTTTCCCAACCCTATTTGCAGGCACACCGCCTGAAGTATTCAGGTCAATCACTGACGAATATAATGGCAAGTCGCCTATCGCATCAAACCTTGATCTGAAGGCACACGACTTGAACACAGGCGAGTTTACATCTATCTACAACTCACATCAACGCACTACCGCTCGCATAACAATAACAAGAATAAATAGCAAACAAATTAACCTATCACAAAACAAAAACGCATTAAGTGAACTTATAAACAGGTGAGGTGTTCGTTGGCCACTACGCATTATCTAAATGTTAGACGGTTAGCACGTCGCAATTGTAACCAAACACTCAAATGTCACGTGTTATAAGTTATCTACTAGCTGCTGGCCAACATTGGATATCAAGATATTGTAGAATCCAGCACTGAAGACATGAGACGATTACTTGGTAACAAACAGCGAATACTAGTTGTTGAGCACATTTGAAAACATGTTTTTTAATGTTAACTGTCAACATTACTGATAAACAAATTAGCTAATACAAAATCGAGGTGGACAAAATGGTATTTGGGTAAGGTACTAGCATAGTCAATGTTCACATCAAGCTGAAATATGACTCCATCATAGTCTTCACGAGACATCAAGCACTGAACATGCTACTTTATATATGTCATGGTAACAAGTAGCACCGACAGTATAACGACAACTTTGTCTTAGTGAGCGCAAAATGTTCTTAAATATAAAACCACATAATTATAGAAGTACATAATTATCTATTAACATCAACATTTACCTCCTTCAGTTTCAACCTTCATCATACAAACTTTTAGTTAAACCTTCAAATAATTTTGATATAAAGGTCTGTTGTTTACTACTATGACTCATGAGGAATAAAAACATCTGTGCATGCATATTAAAACTATTCAAAGCAGAATATGTGCCAAGCGCTGCAAAAATTGCCATTGAATAATTTGTAAGCCCTATCTAGGAAGAGATAACCACCTTTTGCTTTGTTGTAAATGATGCAAAACCTTCGAATTTTTCTTAGAAGGTCATGACACAAATATGTATTCAATAAGGAGTTTCACAGCTAAAGGGCTCCGTACATGTAAGTGTCATTTTCACAATGACAACTGCCAATCCATCGTCAATGGAAGCATTAATCGAACCGATCGGCTTAGCATGCATACACATAAATATAACATTCTCTACATAATATGTATACAGCAACTTTACACGCGCAGCATTAGAATGTAATACATAAGCTTCAATGCCAGTGACAAAATCTCGTCAAGTATAAACAAGAGCAACGATCGTCGATTTACAATAGGTGGACGTTTCCGGAACTACCACTGTGGTAGGCATGGAAATGAGATAGCTAGATTAACCTTGAATCAAGGTTGACACACAGGGTTTGAAGACAAGTGAGTAGCAAGCTAGGGTATAGCCTATCTATCTTCCCAATTAAGTATGCAAGTTCAGTGTGAACAAACCTGATCATGCTCGTCTCCATCACTACATTCCATTCAGGTTGTACGTGTTTTGTGCACACACACTATGGCGCCCATGACAAACTGACATATAGCTACTGTCTTTGTTTTGATACAAACGGCCGTTTAGAAATTTTTCTTTTGCTAAAATGTCTGCTCATCATCACATTCTGCTGTCCAATGACCAAAAACTGAAAAAGACGAAAAAATACAAAGATTGTAACACTTATATTTCAATGCCCATCATATGACTATTTGCTTACGATGACAAGTAAGCCATTATTTGTTTCTTTACAAAACAATTGGCCTTTTATAGCTGTATTATACCAAACGTATCTTGCACCTTTGACATTTTACGATTGTAGCATGCCCTCACTGAGCGGCAAATAAATGAATGAATAAATCAATTAAACGAATAAGCTTCATAAATAAGGTGTGATTTCGAACAATCACTACTTGCATGCTTGTAAACCGCTAAGTATTGGTAAACGGTTCTATGACAGCGACACCAACACAGTTTCAGTTACCTTCACAGATATCACAGTAAGGTCGATCAGCATCGCGGGCGCCGTGGTAGTGTGTTTGCGGTGGGCTCTCTGACATCTGTGTTGGACAGTCCTCTGTCTCGTGAAGGTCAAACACATCACAGATGTCACAGAACAGCCGCGGCGCCATCAATCTCGTAGGACTGCCACTGTCAAAAAAATAGCCACCACGCAGCGTTTAACGATTTCACGAGTTACCTTTTCCAAACAGACTGCTATAATGATTCCACAGTGCCAATGCTAATTACAATGCTAGCTCTAGATAAGACAATATCTGCTGTGAACACAGTGGTTGCTGCGACTCACGTTAACTGAAGGTTGGCGACATCCTCCTCCGTCGCTTCGAGAATGCGAATCCTAGCAATCAGCTCATCGTTCCTGCGCTGAAGGTCGACAATGACGCCGTTGAGAAAGTCAACCTGGAATAAGGCAAATTGACAAGCTGTTGCTCGCTATTGTCACCAAGGTCGCTATTGTCACCAAGGTGCACTGAATCGCAAGACAACAAACACGATAGCGTAAAGCCCCCATCAAAGCGCCATCGAGGTAAACCGCTGTGGAAATCTTCACGATGATATTTTTCCACTTGCGAAGAGACCTTTATAGTAATCAACTTGGGTACAAGTACGCAGAGGAAGCTTGAGATCAGTATTCATACGCACAGCTGTGATGCCCCCCCCCCCGCCCCACAACACCTAATGATTAACAGTGCAATATAAGGATATGTCTATTAGCTGACGTCCTATTAAAGCATGTGGACGTGTGATTGGATGTACTAGACATGTATCTCTGCATGTGGCAAGGTCAAAATAAAAATGTACGACATATCAGTTTAGATACACTTATCCACTCACATCAGCCACACGCACGCACGCACGCGCGCACACACGTGCACACACACGCACGCACGCACGCACGCACACACACACGCACGCACGCACGCACACACACACAAACAGTGAATCCTGAGTGATCTGCAGGTGCATTTTCCTTTGTATGAAACCTCCCAAAATCACAGGGGAACCCCACCTGGCTGACACTTGACTCATATTCCTCCTTCAGCCTGTTCACTAGAGGGTCGGCACTGTCCTGCAGAAGGGCGGCGTTAGCTGCCTTCTCAGCATCCTGCAACGACTCAACCTCCGTCAGCCTCCCAGTCAGCAGCAACTTCTCCTTCTCTAGCGTCGCTATGGCAACCTTTAGTTTATCCACTGCAGCAATCTCTGCCTGGAGCACTGATAACTATTCAAAATAGAAGTAATTGTTAGGTCATATCGTCAGACACACGACTAAAACGCGAGTGGCCATATATCAACTGGAAACCAGAAAACAAAATATGACACTAGTTTCTCAATAATTTCACCTCAGATGTGATAAGCTTTAAATAAACTTAAATGATATGTAACACACCTTTATAAAGTACGGTCATTTTTTTCAAAACTACAAGCATATACTAAGGACAGACACATTAAAATATGATCAAAAAAATTTCCTGCTGGCTATTTGCTAATAATCCTTCACAAATGCCGCTAATATCCCAACCTTTAGCTCGGTAGGAAACGACTTACATTTTCATGCATTGAACATTTTCAATCCATCTTCATATTGAACATATGCATTGACTCATTTCTTCATGTTATGTTATTTCTGTTTGCTATTTCAATCAGTCCTTACTCTTGAATATAGTTTGTTCATACCAGACTATTGCAAAAATATACCATGCACTGTACATAGACATAGATCCCTGGAGTTGGTGGTCACATGACTGAATGACCTTTAATAAAAGAATTACTCCTACATTACATGTAGTAAAGAGAGTGAAAAACATGAATCATGATGAGTTAGATGTTAGAGAAACTCATGAACACTCACCTCAGCCTGCATAAACTCAAGATCCTGATCCTTTTGTGAAACAGCATCGTTACCTGCATCCACCTTGCTAACAAGCTCCTCTTTCAACTTCTTCGTTAACTGGATAGCATCCCTTTCTCTGCCAAAACAAATCAAAAAACACTTGAGCAATTCGTTTGCACATGCCACCATTCATAGTAAAAGACATTTACAACAATAATGCACAAAGAAAATAGATATATCACACAGATTATGATATAGCTATTTAACATCTCTTTCGTCGAGTTTAAAGTTATCTACTTTACATAACCAAGGGGATCTCCAATAAAGGGAACAGCCACGTTATCATTGACACTAGCATGCATCAGAGTAAAGTAGACTCACCATTAAAAATCCATCGAAACAGAAAGCAAGAAAAGAGAGAGTCGAGCATGATTTAGGTGAGTTGTTATCACCATGAGCTACAGTGTTGTTGACATAATACAGAATAGCGAATCCTATTTTTTTTCGGCTAATGGCACATGTCTAGCACATACTATAAATATTCATACACACACCACCACTGTCGCACACATCAAAGATGATGCATAGCACAGAGGTATAGATATCAACTAGAAACAACAGCCTCAGTGCTATACGAGGTAACATCAAATGATTTGGTTACGAGAAAGCTCCGTGTACAGTAGAGCATAGCAGAATAAGTGGCAAGCGCAGCGCCCGTCACCAGAAACAAGCACAACACTGTCTTTCCTGCCGTGCCTCTCTCGTGTACCTTTGCACCGCCATCTGAAGCTGTTCTTCTAAAGTTTCTTTCGAGTTCTCCAGCTGCAGAGAAACATGGTGTAATTATTACCAATGTAGCACACAACAATCCACTTAGGTTCTTGTCGTGTGCATTACAAATAAAAATAACAAAAATATATAGATATAATCCTAGAAAATATATTCAGTATACACTGGTATATATATATAATACATAATCATACTATCAAGAGTATCTGTATTAGTCACTGCGGCAAGGATATTTTAGGAGTCAATAAATAAATAATAGAGCATCAGCATTTGTACAATAATAGAGCATCTCTCTCTTAGTTTCATATATTTTTAAATAAAAATACCACAGAACAACACTATTCAGCTACCATTCTGCCTATCTTTGTTATTATCCAAGCCCAAAATATAATTTATGTAAGCTCTAACATCACCTGCCATCACATGCACTGGTCCCTTACCTCTGCTATGCACCTCATTTTATCATCTAAGCCCAAAATATAATTTATGTAAGCTCTAACATCACCTGCCATCACATACACTCATGTATTACCTCTGCTTTATCCAGCTCTATAGACTTCAGTCGCGTTAGTTCATCACTGATCGTTCCACGCGTGGAATTCGACTCGTCCAATAGCTTCTTCGTCTGACTCAGCTCAAGTTGTAACGCTGACCTACAGTGAGAGACACATTCACATGAAGAAAATGCTGCTATCACCAGATCACATAAGCAACGAGGAAAACCCGACGTCTATAACTTCCTTCCGCTCCTCCTACCTCTCCTCTTCCACATCGCAAAATCCACAAGGTAGCAACCATTATATTTAATGTCAAGATATCAGTGTTGTAACAGTACAAATACGGTTGCAACAATTGGGTAGGATTTTACGCAGCTGAAAGGGGAATTGAGGTCAAACTATTGCTGTGTAACCATCTGTTATTAGCCTAGAGGTCGTATAATATATACACTTACAGCTTTATAGTTAATGCCTGTTCCTCATTTGCCAGTCCTTTCCTGTGCTCGTCCAGTTCATGTTCAAATGAGTGCACCTTCTCTTGCAGCGTAGCATTCTGACAGAAAATAATTACTTGAAATTTAGGCCTACTTACATGCCATATAAAATATCTCACACTAAAATCTGAGCCAATAGCTGTATGCCTTTCAGCAATGGGTTTAGGTAGAAACTAATCGTGGATCAAAACGTGCTGCAAAAAAATTACAGTTCTATTGTTTATACATGGAGGCACACAGACTGGCATTGACACATACCTGCTCCTTCATCGTCACCATGCTCTCCTCCTGCTCCTCCATGCAAGCCTGCATCTCCGCCATCTTAAACTCCTCCTCCTCACGCATCTTTTTAAGTTCGTCATATGCAAGCAGCTGCACCTTGTTCTGCTCCAACTGTTGCCGTTGTTGAGACCTACAGACAGGGCACGAGGAATCACTTACACACCTTGGAAACCAACACACAGGTGATCAAATTTTTCGGATTTTAAATTTAGCGAACAAAATATTACAAAACACATTTCAATGAAAATTAGAAAGTGCAGTTGCTTTGGTGCACGTACAAATGCTCTGACAGGGCATGCTCTCCCTGCGCTCCTTGCTGCAGGAGTCTCTCAGCTTCCTCCTTCTGCAGTGCGTTTGCTGCAAGCAATTCACTGATCTGAAATAAAAAAATTTTTAAGAGATTTTGTTTAGACTGCCATTACCGGCATGTACAGTCTTCTCCCGTCAGCCAGAGATTATAATCAAAACCACTTTCATCAGTTAAACGTCGCGCTATGATAGCAGTACAGAATCAGTTTAAGGTATAACTGCTATAAATATTTTGATATCTGTGCTTCATGCCAGCATGTCAACCTCCAGCTTCATTTTGCCCAAGGAGTCCTTCTGTTCCTCCAGCTCAGTCTGCATCTCTGCTTTTGTAAATTCCTCTTCTTCACGAACCCTTTTCAGTTCATCTTGCGCTGCTGCTACCTGTAGAGTGATTTTGAACAGAACAAATGAAGCCCCGTTTGCAATGAAAACATCTTACACACCTTCCGCAAATTCCTTGAATATAACAAGCACAAGAATAAGCAATGAAAATATTCAACAATCACTCAACTCTGTCCCTGTAACTCGTCCACAAAAGTGTAACAGAGTAGTGCCATATTTACACGCATTACAAATAAAGCACAGTCTGTCGTCGATATAATGGAGGACGAGTGATGCGCACCTCCTTGCTCTGCGAAAGGGCTGCGTCGCGGTCACGAGTCAGCTCACTGAGTTGCTTCTGCGTTTCGGCCAGCTTTTCCTGCATGGTCTCTGACAGCTGCGTCACCTTCTCCTTACTCTCAGTTATGATGACCTGCGCTTGAGACTTCACCGTCTCCAGCTGCGCAGAGGTGGCTTCATGCTCAGCCTGCAAGAGATAAAAGTTAATAAGCTTGACGAGTGCATGTGCTACACGCCGCGTCTCCAACGAGTTCTCACTGCAAACATAATAGTTACGAGAACTTTACAGAGTATTGTACACAAAGCCCATATATATTTAGTTTATTATAGAGATTTGGCTGGAAAAACAGTAGAATATCTTATGATGATGGTATTTGGTTCCACCAGAACCATCAAAATCTAAATTTCTCACTAAACAAATACGGGAAGTCATTGACGATAAAATAAAGTATAGGAGGCATTGTACCTCCATTATAATACAAAAATCTTATCTCTACATGAAAATGAGGTTCTCTGAGAGGACTACAGTACTATCGCAATACAATTGCATCGCCATATGTGATATCCTACTGGTTAACCAGAGCAGTAGTAGATATAGTGACAGATGCTCGTGGATGGGTACAACAGAAGATGATGCAGATACCTGCATCCTACACCTATCATAGGGTGTGTAGTCTACGCACCTTCAAATTTTCTTTGTCGGCACTGAGAATGTTCAGTTCCTCTTGCAGCTTAGCCAGCTGTTCTCTGAGCTGACCTGCCTCCCCGTGACTGGATTGTAGTTGCTTGTGTACCTCTGACGTCTCAGTATCCTTAGCCAAAGTGGTGGATTGTAACTGTTTTTCCAGACTACCAAACTGTTCTTTAAGTTGAACTGCCTCTTCCTGGCTGGACTGCAGTTGCTTCTGTAGGTCCGATGTTTCAGTGTCTTTAGCCACGGTCGTAGATTGCAACTCTTTCTGTAGACTATCAAGCTGTTCTTTGTGTTGAACTGCCTCTTCCTGACTGTTTTTGAGTTGTTTCTGTAGTTCTGAAGCCTCAGAATCGTTAACCTCAGTCGTAGATTGCAACTCTTTCTGTAGACTACCAAGCTGTTCTTTAAGTTGAACTGCCTCTTCCTGGCTGGACTGCAGTTGCTTCTGTAGGTCCGATGTCTCTGAGTCTTTAGCTACGGTCGTAGATTGCAACTCTTTCTGTAGACTATCAAGCTGTTCTTTGTTTTGAACTGCCTCTTCCTGGCTGTTTTGGAGTTGTTTCTGTAGTTCTGACAACGCAGTGTCTTTAGCTTCAGTCGTAGATTGTAATTCATTCTGTAGACTATCAAGCTGTTCTTTGTGTTGAACTGCCTCTTCCTGACTGGACTGCAGTTGTTCTCTGTAGGGCTGACTGTCTCTGAGTACTTTAGTACAGGTCTCGTAGATTGCAACCGTTTTTCCAGACCATCAAGCTGTTCTTTATGTTGAACCGCCCTCTTCCTGGCTGGAGTGAAGTTGTTTTCTGTAGGTCTGACACTCGGATTCTTTAGCCTCAGTTGTAGATTGCAACTCACTCTGTAGACTATCAAGCTGTTCTTTAAGTTGAACTGCCTCTTCTGGCTCGACTGCAGTTGCTTCTGTACCTCAGCTTTCTCAGAACCCTTATCTGTGATTGTTGATTGCAATTCCTCGACTTTTCTGCAGTAAACGTGAAATAACAGCTCGTGAATGACATTTATGGATTCATTCCCTTCACTTCAAAGATAATACATAAGATAAACCTATACCAATGAAACTGTCAATGACACTGTAGCTCACCACAAAAAATGACACAAATGAGTGAAGTGAAAAGACAGTCAGTTTTAAATTGAGCAACCATCGACGACATTATGAGAACGAGAGTATATTGGGTCCGAGAACTCCATATATACTAATTAGTAATATCTTGATCAATATTAGTGTAATTTTTTATGTGAAAATAAATGTTTGGAGATGTGAAGTCTGAGGCTGTGGGGCGAGGTGATCTGGCCGGTTACACCTATGATCGCACATTTAACGTTTTTATAATATCAGATTAGGCCATGCTAAAAGCGGAGCCTCTCCGATGTGGTAAAACGTGTAAACGATTCGAGGGATACGTTATTCCACGTAGGCTGCCCTAATCATACCACTGTGACAAGTTGGTGTTTCCTGCAAGAACAGCAACTTTGTCAAGGTTAATTGGTTGCATGAAAGTGGCTTTACTTGGTATGGTTTTTTAGGCGGTAGCCACGGGCCATGCTGTTTTCTATATCGCAATAATAATTTATACCCCAATGAATCACAATTTGTGACGGTAGATGCGCTGATACCCGCTTTGATGTTACTTAGCGATGGCGGTTCGAATATATAGGTTATGTGCGTTCCGAATGTTTGTTAAAACCTCTTACGTGTTAAGTATAGACGTTATTATCGGCAGGGTGGAGTGGAAATACCAATTGTGCCACTTAAAGATGATTGCTCAATGAAATCCTTGTAAAACGAACCAGACAAGCAACCAATCAGCAAGCATTTGTGACACCACAGACTGTTATCTGCGTGTCTATATATATGCGTAATATAATTGCCAAAACCTACCCTAATTTGCACATAATTTTTTTGAAACATCAAAACCCTAGGCGCATATATTCATTCACATACCAAAAATGGAAAAATTCGGTTGAACCGGAACTGACTAATGGCAATTCACATTTTTGCCAAATATTACCGTGGCTCGGAAAGTACGATCGGACTGCGTGCCCTCAAAATAGGAGCTTCAAACCTCTGCCATAGCTAGCTAACAACTAACCAAATGTTTCAAACATGTGGGTGAAAACGGTCCTGAGTTGTCGTTGACCGTAGCCAAATGTTGACGGACGGCACGGACGGAATACGGACACGGACGTACGCCGGACGACGCCCATCGCGCAATAGCTTCATCGTTAGGAAGATGTCAAAGGTGAGCAAAAAACTGAAATGTTTTTTCTTTTAAATTTACTACCTCAATGGGTAGAAAGCGGGCTCGTCACAATCATGAAGCAGGGACGTGGGGTGAGACGCAGCGACGCGGGCGGGTCGGATGCGTGATCAGGGGTTGTGGTGGACGCTGTATTAGGGCTGAGGCGCACCGAGGAGTTGTGGTGTGTGTTACTCATTAATGACAAATCATGAACACACTAACGGTCCTTCTGTCGAAGCTGTCGTTCTTCAATTCATGCTGGCCAGTTGATGTGAAGCTATCAACCAGAGCTTCTGACAAGTATCCAATATCATGTGCTACCTTTAATCGATCGACCAGGGAAAGAACATTAAGAATATTAAGTTTCGAGCTTACAACATCAGACGAAATAATACGTATAGGGCTCAGCGGTGTGAGAGATAGCTAAACCTATAGAAATAAGATGCTGGATATAGAAATCAGTTAACCCTACACCTCAAGTCCTAAGCCTAACCCTATCCCTAATTCTAACAATAAAAACAAAATTTAGACAAAAATATTAAAAATTAAATAATAAGAGGGCAACAAGATTAGCCAATCAGAGACGTCCCTGCGGGATCACTATCTCTCCCGCTGCTGCAAAAAGTTCAATACGGGAGGCTGTTAATTGTCAATAAACAAAAACAGACATAGCAATTTAGAGGGGAAAATGGATCCTGACAGTGTGTGACTGATAGATGGCGTGATGTCACGAACTCACAAGATTGATCAGGTATGGGCCAACATCAGTGTTTAGTAATAGTGCAGAATACAAATACATACAATATATGCTTATCATCGGATAACTAGCTGACATTTTTCTCACTGGACCTGTAGCCTTTCTGCTCATAATCTGCGAATAAAAACCTCTAATATAGAACCCAGTGTTATCTATTCGAGACGAATGCGCCAGCCATGAAGGTTATACAGCCAGGTGCATACAGTAGTAGCCAAATTGCTCACTCCTCTATTTTCTTCCCGCATACCCCTGGCAAACCAACTTCTGCCAATCTTATGCTTTTTTCTGTCTGCAAGCTATGAGGTCCAAACTCTGCTGCTTTTGCTATTTCATCCCGTCAAATATCAAATTCCAGCCTCTCGCATGCCTTTGCTTGTTCGGCTTGGAGACTTGAGCTCTAACATTCTGTTACCTTTGTCTTTTGCTGCTTGCACATTGAATTCCAGTTCCTGACACTTTTGTCTTTTCTGCCTGAGATTTAGACTCCAATTTCCATATTATTGCCTTCTCTGCCTCCAAACTTGAATGCCAATTCGGCTACCTTTGCAGTTGTGCTCCAAATTCGAATGCAATCGTTACCACTCTTGCATTTTCTGCCTCTAGGACTTGCAGTCCAACGCAGTGCCTACCTTTGTCTTTGGCTGCCTTGCAGAGTTTAAATCAGTATCCTACCACCTTTGCCTTTTCCATCTCAAGCTCGGAGCCTAACTCAGCTACTTTTGGTCCTTTTTCCGCCTCAAACCAAATCAACTCTTGCTACCTTGCTTTTCTGCCTGTAGATTTGAATCCAGTTCTACACTTTGCCTTCTCTAGCCTCCGTGCCTGTGGTCTAGCCTTGCCTACCTTTGCATTTCCACCTCTAGACTTTACGAGCCACACTCTGTTACCTTTGCCTCTTTCTGCCTGCAGATTTGAATCCAGTTTACCACCTTTGGCTTTCTCATGCCCTCCAAATTTTGAGCATCCTGGACCTCACTAGTTACCTTTGCCTTTTCCACCTCTAAACTTGAGTCCAACTCTGTTACCTTTGTCTTTTCTGCCTGCAGATTTGAATCCAGTTCTACTACCTTTGCTTTCTCTGCCTCCAAACTTGAGTCTAACTCGGCTACCTTTGTCTTTTCTGCTTGCAGATTTGAATCCAGTTCTACTACCTTTGCTTTCTCTGCCTCCAAACTTGAGTCTAACTCGGCTACCTTTGTCTTTTCTGCTTGCAGATTTGAATCCAGTTCTACTACCTTTGCTTTCTCTGCCTCCAAACTTGAGTCTAACTCGGCTACCTTTGTCTTTTCTCCCTTCAAACTCAGATCTAACTGTGTTAACTTTGTCTTTTCTGCCTGCAGATTTGAATTTAACTCTTCTACCTTTGTTCTCTCTGTCTTCAGACTGGAGTCCAATTGTATAAGCCTTTCATCCTGTCCTCCAGCCTAAAATAAAAGTTCAATTTTTAATAAGATCATGCTCTGATATTATACAAAGCACATAATAAAGATTATAACAAACATTTATATATTTTGTCATGTAAATTGCAATTTTATGCTATGTTTAGAAACAGAGAACAACAAAACACGACAGAACAACTGATAACAGCCATAAAGAAAGACGAACAAGGTAACATGGGATTTCTAGAGCCCCTTATGTTTAGTAGCTAAGCCTGGTACTGGTCTTACTACACTACCACTACCGCTACTGCTACCACTACCTGTGTGTGTGGAAGATTGTGTAAAGTAGCACTGCGCTTGTGTCTGCATGACTTACCATAGCAGACAGACTACCCTCCACTTCTTGCACCCTCTCATCTGCTGCCGTTAACTTTCGTTGCAGTTCTTCCACTTGACTAAGGTGTGTTTGACAGTTTTGCTCAGACTCCGTTGCCTTTCCCTGTATAATATACATCAGCGTATTATTTTACACTGAACCACGGCTTGTCGCAAAGCTGGGTGAACAATATAGCTGATATATCTGCAGAGTAATCAGTAAGTATTAGACCATTTCAACCTTTATGGGTGTTGCGTTACCTCCTACACTCTAACCACATGTGCCACAGCTCTTCATTTTGTCAAGATATTGTGAATAATCTATAGCTATGTCAGAGCGAGTTATCCAGCATCAGTGCATGGCATGACCACAGATATGCACACGTGCTCTCACACGCACGAACCCACCTATGCAGGATCACAGATGCACATGTACACGCGCACGCACGCACTCACACAGGCATGCATTCATAAAACACACCTGTAGGTATAATTACACACGCACGCACGCACGCACACACGCAAGCACGCACGCAAGCACGCACGCATTCACAAACACACGCACGCACGCATTCACAAACACACGCACGCACGCACACATTAATGAAACACACAGGTATGATCTCTCACACATACACACACACGCACGCACGCAGGCAGACACACACACGATAACACATGTACGATCACACACACACACACACGCACGCACGCACACAGACACACACACGATAACAGATGTACGATCACAGACACACACACGCGCACGCACGCAGGCAGACACACACACGATGACACATGTACGATCACAGACACACACGCACACATGCACACAGACACACACGCTGACAGATGCACAGGTGCTGCTACCTGTAGGTCGGCCACCAGTGCAGTGAGCACTTGTTTCTCCTCAACCACGGACGCCATCAGCGTACGCTGCGCATCGCTGCCGGCAACCGACTCTTCCGCTTTTTCCTCCAGGGTTTTGATGCGATCTCTCTCCTCCTTCAGCGCACTCTCAAGGTCATGTATCTTTGCCGCCTCTTTCAAGAGGCTTTCTTCGAGTTCGGCTATCCGCTCTATGTTTGCGACACCCTGGAGTGCAACCATGCAAACTAGAAGACCAGCCCTAAACCGAGCTCATCGGTATTGCATCCGACTAAACTTGTATCAAAGAATCTATGTTAGAACAGTGGATATTATGCAGTGGTACTCATGCAGCAACTCTAGCCAGTCTCAAACAGACGAGCTTAAGACACAGTGATACCTCATCATTTTTGCCACCTCTCTACCTCATTCCCTGTCCAGCTCTTACCATTTGTATTAGTATAATGAGCCCATTGTCTCACTTTTTTATTTCCTTCACCCTTACCTCACCCTCACTATCTCACATATAAGTCAAACCATGCCTGGTATCTGACACATATATACCATATATCTCAGAATCACTTAATACCGTCAAATTTAGGACTTACGTCTAGTGACTCTCCTTTGTTCAGGACTAACTCTTCTACTCTAAACTGAAGGTCCTCACACTTCCTAGAGTAAGAAAGAAAGCACCAATTTAAATATACAGTTGAGAATTTTATGTGCACAATTAGCACGCACGCACGCACGAGTATGCTTGCGCAAAAATCGAAATTATCCAACTGATATAATTCTGACAGAGACACTTGCCTCTGTTCGTCCACTAGCTGATTTGCCAGTGACGTATTTGCCTCATCTGTATTTTCAAAGTCCCCTTGCAGAACCCCAATGTTTTCTGCACTCTCTTCGGCAAGACGATCGTAATCTGTCCGCAGTTTGGCCAACTCCTGCTCCAACTAAAAAGAAAAATAGTTTTACAATATAGCTGCCGGTGATTAAAGCGTCCGATTAAGCTTTTTCGTTCTCATCCTGATGCTGTGGATTGATTAATCGGTACTGGTGACGACAAACATGGCCTCACCTCATCTGCCTTGGCAGCCGCGCGTCCGAAGTCACACCTCTCATTGTCCCGCTCTCGCATCAGCTGATCAAGATGCTGCTCCTTCTCTCTGAGAGCGTCGTGCAATGCATTATGGGTAGCTTGCACGTTCGACCGCTGCGCGCCCTTGGGAGACGACTACAAACAAGAAACCCATCAAACGATGATGATCGGACAAGTAACGATTCGACATGAATAATTTTTGTTTCAGCACAATTGAGAATCTCCGCCCAGATATCGATGAGCCTGGAGGGCACATCCACGTACGTACGTGCTGAGAAAAATAAAACCATCAATTAAAATACAGTGCTCAGAGAGCCGAGTCATGAAGCCAATTGGAATCCTATACTTACACATTACAGATGAGATCCACAATGCATAGCGTGCAAAGAGAAAAGACAGAGAACGCTTATCACTATGAGATGCTAAGAGACACCAGCATATGAGATGAGACCAGCAACAAACTTGTGAAATGGCCAGCTACTATATACTTAAAGAGTAGATCTAGCATAATTACCACCATTAATGACAGCTTAATTTGTTTAGATGATCGATTCAGCTCAGTATGCTGCTCATTACAACATGTACGAACCAAAAATTACTTATTAGCATTGGGATAATGTCTAGGATGCTGTCCAATGTTAAAAACAAAAGCAAGTTTTTTAGTTCAGACATTCCAAAAAATATTATATAAAAAAGACGTTTTGAACCCCTCATATATACCTTTATTCATATTTTCACACAAAACCAAGAGCTTGGCTAATTATATTAGACGTTTTAGAGTAAGGACACTTACAGAAATAGAATTTTTAGAAAATATTCCATGTAAACATGAAACACGAAATTTGGATGGAAACCAACTTTTATCTGTTAGTTTTTGGTACTTCCTGATTGTCCTATTTACGACCACACCACACATGTGAATGCTCCCAAGCACACACAAAACACACACACACTGAAAACCGAAAATTCATTAAAACCAGGAACGATCTAGCAGCAGTGTGTTACATCCTTGTCTGGACATATTGACAGTTCCTGATAGCCTACCTGAATCCATATACCTATGATGACACTCAATTCAGAAACACCACTACAGCCAGAGGAATGAGAAATTCCTGTGTAAATTCTCATCGTAGTGCAATCACAATAGATGGTTCACTGGGTTACTACTAGGTCACTACTTAGTTGTCCCTGAAGAGAACAGACTTTTTTCATGCACAAAATGCATACAGAAGCAGCACTCAAATGGATATATTAACACTTTTACACTTTTATTGCACTTTTAAAAAAGATATATGAAATTTATGAGTCAATCCTGTATTAATAAATCATTCGAGTCATTCTATAGCATTGTTTACATAATTATACATGTTAATTAGGAGAATGATGCCGAGTATAGGTTACTGTGAATGGGAACATAGACACAGTACAGAAGTAGTAAAGAGTTAATAGGGGTACAATCTCCAAGATGCAAATAGCCAGATATGCCTATTTCATACACATAAAAAAAATGAAAACTCAATATACGCATGACTTACAAACATGCCCTTGGAGCTGAACAATGTCGCAGATACCATTAGCAACGTTCATTGGTTAAATTTCTTACATGGAATTATACTGACGTGGACTTTAATAATGAGAATGTTGGTACAACTGCTGCATATTTCATGAACTCGTACTATGGCAAAACTGCAATTCAAGCCAATTTCAGTTTCTATTAGTCTCTGATCAATTTTTGTGTAATAAGAATATAAAATAAATTGTGTGCTACTGTGTCTGCAACCAACAATAATACTGATAGGAAATTGTAAAGTTCATGTATGAACATGGAGAAAATGCTAATGGTACGTACAACATTTTTTCTCACAAGGTAAAAAATAAATGACTACAAACTAGAGTAATGAGTAAACACAGGCAGCAAACAGATATAACCTGTGGAGGGCAGCTTACACTATTTCAAATACTGTAGAAAAACGCAAATGATCGCTTTACGAGTCTGTACCGGACTAAAGGCTTTTGCAGCTATGAAACTTGATTTTACGTGTAAACCAATTAGACATCGCATTACTTTCAGGTAACTCATGAAAAGCAAACATATTTACATTTAATCTATTTTAAGAATTACGCATTTAAAATCGAAATTCCCATTTAACCTGCGTCTTAACTTTAACAAAATTCAGTAATTTAAACAAAGCAAAAACTCGCTAAATGTTATCAACAAATAGACACAATACGTGAAATCGGCTAGTCCTTCAGCATCAACAATTTGACGCCACGCTACAAAAACAAGCGAACATTCTCATGCTGCACCCGCCACAGTCGTTCGTCTGCTGCGTGCCCGTGTTGTTAGAATCGGCATCCCCTATGACAAGTACCTGGCTGGTTAGTGAAGTCACACCCAACCTTACCCGTCCTCGGGAGGAGGTGGAGCTCAGGGTGTTGATGGAATCCTGGCTGCCGCTGCGGGAGCGCGTCAGTGCGCCCGGCGTGTGGCTGGACAGCGACTGCCTTGTGAGCGGCTTCACCTGCGGGGGCGGCCGAGCGAGACGCACCACCTTGATGACGGGCGCAAACAGCCCGCACTTCGGCTTGCAGTCAAAATACCTGCCGAGAGAGCGGGAGAGAAAGAGAGGCGGGTGAGACGATGATATGCGGTTTTCAAGAACATTTCACGAGGCGTCACTTACATACTGCCTTGATAAGATCCTTACATACTGTCTTGCTGACCAAGAAGTCAGTACCTCTTGCCTATGACATATTGATTATTGCACCATATCGATTGACCTCGACATATTGATTGATTTTAACCTATTGATTGATCGCTTATTCAAAGATCGCACAAAATTAATTGACAGCAACCTATCAGTTTGCCGTGACATATTGATTAGTCACACCATATTAACTGACCATGACCTATTGATTGGTTAGCCACTACCTATTGATTGACCACAACCTATTGATTAGTCACACCATATTAACTGACCATGACCTATTGATTGGCTGCCACTTATTGGTTAGCCGCTACCTATTGATTGACCACGACCTATTGATTAGTCACGTCATATTAACTGACCACGACCTATTATATGACAGCGGCAACGTTCAGTGACAGACCGTAACCGGCCGTGACCAGCCGTAATCATGCGTGACCGTGCGTGACCGGCCGCGCAGGCGTGCGGACGCCGGACACGTACCTCTTGCCCGCGACCGATCCGTCGTTCTTGCCCTGCGCATCGTCCAGCTCGATGCCGGCCCAGTCGCCCTTCGCAAAGTCCGTCGCTCCCAGGTAGCGCAGCGTGCCCGTCTTCGTGCCGCTGACGAGCACGCGGTCGCCGACGCGCAGTGACTTGCGCTCCCGACCGCTCTCCGACCCGAGACTGCTCACGGACGCCGTCAGCGACGACTTGCGAAGCCCGCCCGGCGGCGGCGCCGCCCCCTGCCGCGGCGTCGTCGGCGTCGTCGTCGCCGCTGCCTTGGCGACTCGCGCGAGGTTCGCCGCCGTCAGCCCATTCTGCGGGCGCGCCGGCATCGCGGCGGGGGGTCGCGTCGGGGTGGCGGCCGCGGCCGCGGCGGCGACGCCGTCCTCAGAAGGTGCGCGTGTCAGCTTGGCGGCGCGCGAGAACACGCCGCGCTTTGCCTCGCACTGGAAGTAGCGCACGCCGGCGACCGAGCCGTCGTTCTTGCCGATCGTCTCGTCGAGCACGACGCCGGCCCACTCGCCCGGCGCAAACTGCGTCTCGCCGAGGAACGCGATGAGGCCCGGCTTGGTGCCGCCAACCCAGACGCGGTCGCCGACGATGTAGCCGTCGCCCGTCTGTGACAAGGCGCCAGAGTCAGACGCTGTAGAGAAAAAGAGAGAGAGAGAGAGGAGTCAGCGGGCGCTGGAGAGAGAGAGAGAGAGAGAGAGAGAGAGAGAGAGCTGTAGAGATAGAGAAAGAAAGAGAGAGGAGAAAGAGCGAGACAGCAAGAGAGAGGGGGAAAGTGAGAGGAGAGAGGGAGAGTGAAAGGAGAGAAAGAGAGAGTGAGGGAGAGAAGAGGCGCGTCAGTGGGGCACCGATACTCATCGTCACGGTTACCGTACGAGTAATTGCCAATGTTCGTAACGGTTGACAGTGATATTAGTTATAACATTAACGACTAGCAGCAGACTAGGGAGATAATTGAGAGTAGTTAACTTTCGCTTAAGTTAATTATTATGATGATTATAATGCACAGATTATAATTGAGTTAACGTTCGCTAACACCATGTTTCATAGCAAAGATCTGGAGGCTGGTCTGCTAGGAAAAACATCCATTACGCGAGGTTGTTATAATAATTCAGGCAATTCATGGCAGCAGACGTTATCGGTGGTTACTTTTCACTATAGTTACTGATTTTTTCTTGAATGATACGACATAGCATTATCTGAATATTTTCCCTCATCCGCCAAACGAGTGAATTACATGAGATATGCGAGTAGTTAGTCAACATTCAACCTCATTCTCGCTTCATCCATATTTCTCGAAAAGTGATCGCTTTCATCCGAGCACATAAACCGATTTTCTTACATGACTGTTTTCGTAAACGTGCGTACTGCTAAATGCAGTGCAGGAAGCATGGGTGCGTACCATGGTGGAGTTTTGCCGCCACCCTGTGAGCATACTGTTCGGCTGCAGGCGTCGGTAGACCCGCCTTACGTGCACTCTGTGTGACGGCGTCTGCACGGCGCATGCACATGCAAAACAACAGCAATGGTCTCTAAAACTCTGTGTGGAAGTGCTCTCTCGATTACCATGCAAGCAGGTACAAACTAAACGTAGCGAATAGAAACCGAGGATCCATCACATAGAAGTCACAGGTTAAAATTATGCAATTGCACTAGAGGCTCCCACGCATGCTTGCACGCGCGCACACGTCAAATTTCGGTGAGGAATAATTTATGACATTACTCATTCAGACTATTGCTTCATAGTGGATTTTACATCATTCAGTCACAGGTTAATTACGCACTTCACTAGCATCCTACACATACCCACATGCACAATCGCACATCTGCTTTTAGCCGATTAATGATTCATCACATTATCAATCATATTTAAATAAAAAAACAGCCTCTGATACTAAAACGAACCAGACAAGTGTGACACCACAGACTGTTATCTGCGTGTCTATATAATATGCTATATAATTGCCAAAACCTACCTAATTTGCATAATTTTTTTTAAATATCAAAACCCCTGGCCCTTATTCATTCACATACCAAAAATGAGCAAAATCCGTTGAACCTGAACTGACTAATGGCAATTCCCATTTTTGCCAAAATATTACCGTGGCTCGAAAGTACGTCGACTGGCGTGCTCCAAAATAGAACGTTCAAACCTCTGCCATAGCAGTAACAACTAAACCCAATTTCAAACATGTGGGTGAAACGGTTCCTGAGTTATCGTTGACCGTAGCCAAATGTTGACGGACGGACGGACGGACGGACGGACGTACGACGTACGACGACCCATGGCAATAGCTCATCTTGACGATGTCAAGGTGAGCTAAAAACTAAATGTTTTTCTTTTAAATTCTACTCAATTAGAAAGGGGTCGTCACAATCATGAAGAGGGACGCTGGGGTAGAGACGACCAGCGAGCTGGGGTGATCAGGGGTTGTGGTGACGCTGTATTAGGGCTCAGGCCGCCCGAGTGAGTGTGTGTGTGTGTGTCTACTCAATTAATGACAATCAAAAACACACTAACCGGTCCTTCTGTCGAAGCTGTTCATTCATGCTGGCCAGTTGATGTGAGCTATCACCAGAGTTCTGAACCAGTTCAACTATCTGCTGCTCCTTTAATCGTCGACGGGAAAAAGAACATTAATAATACATTAGTTACTACGTAAACATCAGACAAATACATAGTAGTAGGTCTCAGGGGAGAGATAGTAAATATAGAAATAAGTTGTGGATATAAAAATCAGTTAACCCTAACCCTAACCCTAATCCTAATCCTATCCCTAATTCTAAAATAAAACAAAATTAGCCAAAAATAATAAAAAATAAAATATATAAGAGTCAAAATTAGCCTATCAGAGCCGTCCCCTAGCGGATCACTATCTCTCCCCTGTGCAAAATTCAATACATAGGTGTTTATTGTCAATAAACAAAAGAACGTAGAATTCTAGAGGGAAAATGGACCGATCAGATGGCGAGATGTCACGAACTCACAGATTTGAGCAGGTATGCCAATATACAGTGTTTAGTAATAGTGAGAATAATACATACCAATCTCTGCTTATCATCGGTAAACTGCTGACATTTTTCTTCACTGGCCTGTAGCTTTCTGTCATAATCTGCAGAATAAAAACTCTAATTAGACACCAGTGTATCTATCGAGACATGCGCAGCATGAAGGTTATACAGCCAGCATACTGTATAGCCAAATTTCTCATCCTCTATTTTCTTCCCGCATACCTGAAACCAATTCTGCCATCTTTGCTTTTTCTGTCTGCAAGCTTGAGTCCAACTCTGCTGCTTTTGCTATTTCTCCCTTCAAATTCAAATCCAGCTCTGCTGCCTTTGCTTGTTCGGCTTGGAGACTTGAGTCTAACTCTGTTACCTTTGTCTTTTCTGCTTGCACACTTGAATCAAGTTCTACTACCTTTGTCTTTTCTGCCTGCAGATTTGACTCCATTTCCACTATCTTTGCCTTCTCTGCCTCCAAACTTGAATCCAATTCGGCTACCTTTGCATTTTTTGCCTCCAAATTCGAATTCAATTCTACCACTCTTGCATTTTCTGCCTCTAGACTTGAGTCCAACGCTGCTACCTTTGTCTTTTCTGCTTGCAGATTTAAATCCAGTTCTACCACCTTTGCCTTTTCCATCTCAAAGCTCGAGCCTAACTCAGCTACTTTGGTCTTTTCCGCCTCCAAACTCAAATCCAACTCTGCTACCTTAGCCTTTTCTGCCTGTAGATTTGAATCCAGTTCTACAAACTTTGCCTTCTCTGCCTCCGTGCCTGTGTCTAGCTCTGCTACCTTTGCCTTTTCCACCTAACCTTTAGACTTGAGCGCCAACTCCTTGTTAGCCCTTGACTTTCTGCCCTCAGATTGAATCCAGTTCTACCACCTCTTGCTTCCTGCCTCCAACCGAGTCAACTCTGTACCCTTTGTTTTCCACCCCTCTAAAACTTTGAGTCCAACTCTGTACCTTTGTCCTTTCTGGCTGCAGATTTGTATCGCCCGTTCACTACCTTGCGTTTTTTCTGCCTCCAACTTGAGTCAAATCGGCTACCTTGTGCCTTTTCTTCTGCCTCAAACTTGAGTCGCAACTCTGTTACCCTTGTCTTTTCTGGCTGCTAGATTTTGTATCAGTTCCTACTACCTTGTTGCCTCTCTGCCTCCAAATTTGAGTCTAACATCGGCTACCTTTACCTTTCCGCTGCATGCTACACCTTGATCCACATCGTCTACCTTGTCTTTTCTGTCTTGCAGATTGAATCCATCTACTACCTTTCTTTTCTCTCGCCTCCAAACTAGATCTAACTCCTGCTACCTTTGTCTTCTCTCCTGCCTCAAACTCAGATCTAACGTTAACTTTGTCTTTCTGCCTGCAGATTTGAATAACTCTCTACCTTTGTTCTCTTCCTGTCTCAGCCAAGAGTCCAATTGATAAGCTTCACTTGTCCTCCAGCCTAAAATAAAAGTTCATTTTTAATAAGATCATGCTCGATATTAACAAACACATACATAAAGATTATATACAAACATTTATATTTTGTTATTAAATTCAATTTTATGCTATTTTAGATAACAAGAACAAACAAAACAACAACAGAACAACTGATAACATCCATAAAGAAAGAAGAACAAGGTAACAGGATTTCTAGAGCCCCTATGTTTAGTAGCTAAGCCCGCCCGCCCTGGTACTGGTCTTACTAACCACACCACTACCTACTGCACCGACACTCTGACTACCTGTGGTGTGGAAGATGTGTAAAGTAGTCACTGCCGCTTAGTGTCTCATACTTACCATAGCAACAGACTAAACCCTCCACTTCTTGCGACCCTCTCATCTGCTGCCTGTTAACTTTCAGTTGGCAGTTCCTTCCACTTGACTACGTGTTTTGACAGTTTTGCTTCAGACTTCCGTGCCTTTCCCTGTAAATCTACATCACGTTTATTACACTGACACACAGCTTCGTCGGCTAAAGCTGGTGAACAAATACTGAATATATCTGCAGAGTAATCAGTAAAGTATTAGAACCAAAACCATTACGGGTGCCTTACTCCTAGTCACCTAACCACATGCTCCACAGATCTTTCAGTTTTGCAGAATCTTGTAATAATCTATAGCTAGTGTTAGCGCGGTTACCAGGCATACATGCATGGCCTGACCACAGATATCAACACCGGTGCTCTCACACGCACGAACCCCTTATGCAGGATCACAGATGCACATGTACCGCCGCACCAGCACAGCCTCACACAGCATCATTCATGAAACACACCTTAGCTAAATTACACACGCACGCACGCACGCCACTCCGCAAGCACGCAGCAAGCACGCACGCCACGCACGCAGCGCACGCACGCATTCACAACACACGCAACGCAACGCACCCATTATAAACCACACAGTACTGACTCCCAACACATACACACACACTGCACGCCGCAGGCAAACACACACACGATAACACATGTACGACACCCGACAATCACACACACACGACAGAGTGCCACGCACACAGACACCCCACGATAACACATGTAACATCACCAGACACACACACACAAGAGCGAACTTCGCACGCAACCACAACAGACACACACACGCTAAACAGATTAGCGACAAGACACACCACAGCGCACAGCACGCAGCAGACACACCACACGAATACACACTACCTATCACAGACCGACACCACCCACATGCCCACAAGACACACACGCTGACAGATGCACGAGTGCTGCTACCTGTAGGTCGGACCAGTGCCAGTGAAGCAGCATTTTCTGCCCTCAAGCCACGACGCCATCAGCGTAACGCTGGCGCGTCCCAGCGGCAACCGACGTTTCCGCTTTTTCTAACCAGGGTCTTGATGCGATCTCTCCCTCCTTCAGCGCACACTCTCCAGGTCATTATCTTTTGCCGCCTCTCCAAGAGGCTTTCTTCGAGTTCGGGGCTATCCGTCTATGTTTGCGACATCCCTGACGTGCAAACCATGCAAACTAGAAGACCAGCCCTAAACCGAGCTCATCGTATTGGCATCCGACTAAACTTGTATCAAAGAATCTATGTTAGAACAGTGGATTTATCGGTGGTACTCATGGCAGCACACTCTAAGCCAGTCTCAAACAACGACTTAGACAGCTGGATACCCTCATCATTTTTGCCAGCCTCTCTACCTCATTCCCTGTCCAGGCTCTTACCATTGTATAGTATAATGAGCCCATTGTCTCACTTTTTTATTCCTTCACGCCTACCTCACCCCTACTATCTCACATATAGTCAACCATGCTGAGTATCTGACACAATATATATCATATCTCAGAATCACTTATACCGCAAATTAGAACTACGTCTAGTGACTTCAGGCCTTGTTCAGCGACTAACTCTTCTACTCTAAAACTTGAAGGTCCCACACTTCTAGAGTAAGAAAAGAAAGCAACCAATTTAACATTAGTCAGTTGAGAATTTATGTGGCACAATTAGCAACGCAATCTACAGACTGCAGCAACGAAGACTGCTTGCGGCAAAAAATCGAAAATTATCCAACTGAATAATTCTGAGAGACACTTTGCCTCTGTTCGTCCACTAGCTGATTGCCAGTGACGTATTTGCCTCATCGTATTTTCAAGTCCCCTGCAGAACCCCAAATGTTTTTCTGCACTCGTCTCAGGCAAACTGATCGTAATCTGTCCGCAGGTTATGGCAACCTGCCCAACTAAAAAGAAAATAGTTTTAAAAATGCTGGCCGGTGATTAAAGCGTCCGATAAGCTTTTTCGTTCTCATCACTGTCGCTGTGATATTAATCGTATGCTGGTGACGACAAACAAGGCCTCACCTCATCTGCCTTGCAGCGCGCAGCGTCCGAAGTCACACGCCCCATTGCACTCGCTCTCAGCATCAGCTGATCCAGAATGCTGCCCTTCTCTCTGTACAGCGTCGTGCAATGCATTATGGTAGCTTGCACGTCGCACCGCGCTGCGCGCCCTTCGGAGACCGACTACAACAAGAAACCCCATCAAACGATGATGATCGCGGACCAAGTAACGATTCGACATGAATACATTTTGTTTCAGCACAATTGAGAAATCTCTAACGACCAGATTATCGATGAGCCTGGAGGCAGCATGCCACGTACGTACGTGCTGAGAAAAATAAAACCATCAATTAACAATCACATGCTCAGAAGCCCGAGTCATGAAGCCAATTGGAACTCCAGTATTACACATTACAGATGAGATCCAAATGCATAGCGTGTCACAGAGAAAGACAGAGAAACGCTTATCAACTATGAATGCTCAAATGAGCACACCAGCAATCATGAGATACACCAGCACGAAACTTGTGAAATGGCCCCATGCTACTATATACTTAAAGAGTAGATAGAAAAATCTACCAACCATTAATACAAGCTTAATTGTTTAGGGATTGATTCAGCTCATGTATGCTGCTCATTACAACATGTAGCGAACCAAACATTCTTATTAGCATTGCGAATAATGACGTCCTGGATGCTGTCCAATTTAAAACAACAAGCACAGTTTTTTAGTTCAGACGATTGCCAAAGCATAAAATAAATATTATATAAAAAAGACGTTTGAACCCCTCATATAATACCTTTATCAATTTTCCACAAAACCCAAGAACTTGGTCTAAATATATTCAGACCGTTTGTAGAGTAAGCGACCTTACAGAAATAGAATTTTATAGAAAATAATCCATGTAAACATGAAACACGAAAATTGGATGGAAACCCAACTTTTATTGTTAGTTTTTGGCACCTTCCCCGATGCCTATCACGACGCACACCACACATGTGAATGCTCCAGCACACGACATAACAGCACTACAGACACACATGAAAACCGAAAATTCATGTAAAACAGTGAACGACTACCACAGTGTGTTACATCCCTTGGTCTGGACACGTATTGACCAGTTACCTGATAGCCTAACCTGAAATCCATATACCTAATGTGACAGCTCAAGTTCAGAACACCCCAACAGCCAGAGGATGACAAATTCCTGTGTAAATTCTCAATCGTAGTGCAATCAACAATAGATGGTTCACTGGTTAACTACTAGTCACTACTAGTTTGTCCCTGAAGAGACAACTTTTGCCTCAGCACAAATGCATAGCAGAGCACACTCCAAATGGCTATATTAACACTTTTAACACTTTAATTGCACTTTA